ACTCCCAGCACTCTGGTCAGCAGGCATACTAACTGGTGACAAGTTCTGTGGGCTTCTCGGTCCTTTCTTACAACAGGGTAACCTCTGACTAAGCTACTCATGTCCACAGCATCAGCTATGTAAAATGTTACTATAAACACATCATTTGCTTTCATTCCAGTGAATCCTCAGCATACATCTTTATACAAAGAATAGTTATATCCCATACACCCTGCATTAATAAATGGAACATAGTTTTGACTGGGATAATGCCTAATTAAAAGTGCTGCCACTTTCCTGTAAGTAAAGGGGTAAGCTCAGCTGCCAGATTTTTTTCCTGACAGGTTTGAATTTCCAGAGATTGAAAATCTTGTAGTCAGTCTCTCCATATGTACAGCCTTTAAACTGAACTGAAATAGATGGCAGAACCAAAAAGGAAGACTGACACAGTAAATCACAATGATTTATGAGCATTTAGGAATACAGGAAAAAATACTTTTTTTCATTTATTTGAAAATAAATACATTATTTATAGTCTTAGTTCTCATACAGCACAGAATATTTTGGGATTGTCCTGCCAAATTGAAGGAATTGGATCTTACCAATTACAGGGTCACATTCTGCTATCCCTTGCATGTGTGTATATGCAGTTTCAGATATTAGAGATTTGCATGTGTATATATGCAGTACAGATTTTAGAGATTAAATCCCTATTTTATTAGTCATCCTAAAACATCCAACCAGTACAGAGTTAATCACTGTTTTTTGCATATCTTTCTCTATCTAGTTTTAAATGTTCAAAGCAGTTATTTATGTTGCCATGTAGGCATCAGTAGCTAAATGTTTGGTAATAATTAGCCTGAATCTTGTATTTTTAAGTTTAATCTACTTTCTTTTGGTTTATTTTAATGAGTTACATGCTAGTTCCCTTCTTGATGCTGTAGGGCTTCTTCAGCTTATATATTTCAATTGCATATCAATCCTGAATATTTAAACCTGTTTTAGAAGAACACACAAACACCTGGCAAATTTGGGGACTGGGATAACCAAGAAGCACAATAAATACAGTCAATATTCCCTTTCTTGCTGACAATTTTAGTCTCTGAAGCTGTAAACACAAAACATCAAACCTTGGGATTCAGACCTTAGGGAGCTTACTAACTCCACTCCACTCCACTCCACTCCACTCCACTCCACTCCACTCCACTCCACTCCACTCCACTCCACTCCATTGCTCAAGAGACTGTTAATTAGGATAATCAGTAACAGCTTCATCTGTTTGAGTTTTTTTACATGTTGCTGTAAATCATAACTTCTTATCTCCCTGACAGTTTTCTGTTCTTTTGTAAATTTCCTAGTTTTGGTTGTGTTTTTGTTGGTTTTTTGTTGTTGGTTTGTTTTTTTTTTGCTGTTGAGATGAAACCGAGATCAATATTTCAAACGTGATCGCACAAGTCTTGTGAAAAGAAGGCAATACACGCTGGTCTTGTATGTCCCACCTCTGTTTAATGAGTTTTTCAAGTTTGCTTTCTTCTTCTGAAATAATTTCAAAACCAGCTTGGCAAAGGATGCATAACTGGGAATACAAAACCGTATGCAAAACTATTTATCAGTTAAACAAGTAAGTCTGAACTACAAAAAGTTCACAGAAAGACAGCAGGAAGATAGGCTTAAAAAAGCTGCAAAAGAAGGTTTCAACTGCAAAAAAAAAAAACACACCAAAAACCCCAAACCTTAGATAGAAATACAATTTGGGATTATGAACATCTGCTGTAAAAAAGAAAACACCAAAGAATGTGTTAATGCATCAGGAAGAAAACAATAAAGGATTTATTAAAATTCTCGATATAAAGAAATTTCAGGGACAACAGAATCCTGAGTCTGGCCTTCACCCTACAAAGTCTGCTTTTCATCACTTAGCTGAGATAGAAGAAAGAATTTACTCTGTTTTAATTAAAGAAGCTATAGGCATTTAGAACCATTTTTAGTTTATGTTTGACTGAAAGTAACAGTGAGATTTTGAAAGCAAATTAAGGATGTAAGTTTCAGATATTTGCATGATTCCTTTGATTTATAGGAATAAAACCAGCTTCTCCTTCCTCCTCAGTCACCACACTAGAAAGCTACTTACCTTTTAAACTGTTCGTTAATTGTTTTTTTCTTATTTGATTTCACAAAAATAGATGTTGCACAAAAAATTAGCAAGACACAATAAATAAGAATGTGAGACTATTTTAGCAGATGCAGTAGAAAAAGAACAGGAGATAATTTTATAGAGGATCCTATAAATGTTTACTATATTTGCATGCTTGACACCAAACAAAACTGGGTAAAATGTAAAAAGAATCTAAATCATTGACTAAGTAATAATGAAAATGCTTGTGTTTTTTAAATTGCTTTCATGCACTGTACTTTATGATGTACTAATACATTAAGCTTGTTGATGATCCTTAGTTCTGCTTGAAAGCTTCTGCACTGCAATGCTTATTTAAGTAGCCCTTCAGTCAGGTAACAACTACTTTTAGCTCATTCTAGTTTTCTTCCTATATCTTGCTCTTCTTATGCTTTAAAGATGATTTTCTTTAGCCTTTTCCAGTTGCATTTATATTGGAAAAATGTAATAATGTACCTTTACATCTTCTCCACAAGATTTGGTCTGTTTGCTTTGGTTTTCATGAAATAAAATACCATAGCAATAGTGTATTTTGTGTTCTTGAGTCTTACTGTATTGAATTTAAATCTCATGGATGTTGATTCACAGCTTGGAATCTGTATTATGTGAACAAAGCTGACACTGTTTGCCCTAGTAATTATCAGATGATGAATCATCTTTTTCTTTCCTGTGATACCTTGCTTTCTGCACAGCCCCATGATCGCTAGGCCTGCATGAAAGTTGCAACCAGAAATACAACCATTGGTCCATAGAGGGAAGGACATCATTTTCCCCCTTTGGCAACAGCATAGCTTTAGATCAGCTTCAGCAGGCAGCAGCATTCTTCCCCTAATTCCTGATCCCACTGAAGTTAGTGGGAAATGTTTCACTGATTTCAGTACAACCAAATTTGTCTCTGATCAAAACAAAATTAATATGGGGAAAAAATACTTCCAAACAGTTTAAAGATGAACACACAAAACACCACATTGGTTTTGACATATCACTCTGATGCAAAGACAGGTCACTAATAAAATATTTAACTTCTCAGTACACCTCTTTAAAAAAAACAACAGTACCATCTGAATTTGGAAAGTTCCACCTGCTGAATTCCAACAGAGCAGTGCAAGCACGACTTATCACTTTATTTCCATTGTAGAGGAACAGGATACTTCCAAAGAACTTGTGTTTGTACACTGCACTACATGTCATCATGTCAAAATGCACAGTCCCCAAATATTTTTGTTTACAAGCTGCCACATGGAGAAGCCAACTGGCATGTTGTTTAAATATTAATTTCTGGTATGTGCTTTGTATACAGAAAAATCTGATTTATGAAATGCAAGATAGAAACTTGTAATTTTTTTCAGTATATACCAAAATAACTGACTGTGCAGAAATCATGGCTACATCCACAATACATTCTGAGATGCTTAAATTGCTTATTTTTTAAAATTGGCTAAGATTCTTTTAGTTGAAAAGGGCTCAAACTTATCACTACTATATTTTAGCAAAACATTTTAATATGCTGGATGTGTTACTGACAAAAAAGGGCTGATCATCTAAGTCTGATGCAATAAGATTGTAAGTGAAATATGATGGTGAGGAGACAGAGAGGAAGGCTAAAGGCTACAGCCTTTACAGCCTGGTAACTCAGATACCATACGCACATCTTGTCAACTCGGATAAAGTATTTTAAAACATACTAAATATGGGCTAATACAGTGGCTAAAGTTTGTGTAACTTGTCCTCAGCTGACCTTGGTGGAGTTCTGCTGATTTACATTAGAAACTCCTGGTAGTGATTTAAAAAAAAAAACAACCAAGCACAAAACTACTGTTATTCCAGATGGAATAACTGTAAACCCTTTAAATAAGATATTTTTTCAGGTTGAAAGTTTCTGTGATAAAGTATCCAAACTTTATTTTCTCCTTGGTCTCCTCCTTTCACCCTCAGCCTTCTCTTTCCCTTCTTCCTGTTCTGCCTCAGAAAAAGTAGAAGAAATACAGAAGAACAAAAAGGAGGATAAACAAAGATGAGTATGGCAAGAGTTTTTCATTTTTTAGTCTCACTGATGATAAATGAAAATAATAAACCGAGGAAGTTCCATGATAATCTGTTGTCTTTCCACTAAAAATGACAACATAATAAAAGGTTGATGTAGAAAGGTTTAACAATCTAAAATCATGTCTTACACATTTTATTTTGTAATTTCTAACAAGTGGCTCACAACACATGAAGCTCAAAGTAAATGTCATCAACTGAATCTAATGGCTTAGCCTATCTGAAAAGGGAAAACATCTGCCTAAGAAAAAGCACTAAAAAAAAAAAGACTCGGAAGGAAGCAGCTTGACAGAGCACTGCTACTGGCATTAACCATCAAGGGAAAGGAAGATTCCAACGAGACTTGGTTGACTAATTAGACAAAGGCAGAGTTAAGATTCTGAGAGCTAAGATTGCCTATGCTACAAACGCCTTTCTTTAGTTGCTGAATAATCTTTAACGTCGCCAATCTTCCTATATAACCTGTTCTTGCTTATTCTTGCAAAATCATGGCTTTTATTGTCATCAGTGCCAACAATAGCAGTAAGTAGGGTAACAAATTCACTATTTGTTAATTACGTTATAAAATGTATGACAAAAACCTCATATTCTTTCCAAGAAACCACAACTATTACTTAAATTTCATGTGTAAATCAGTATGGGACACAAATCATACCAGATTAAAAGCAGACGCTCCATGTAACCTTAGACTAATACCATCTAACAGCACTATGCAAGCTGACAAAAACCTGGGCTTTAGTCCTCTGAGCACTTTGGAAATGATTACTACTGTCATTACATATAATGCTCATACATTTCTCCACAGAAACAAGACTACTTTTTAACAGACGAAGAATGAAAAATGTCTGTGAAGCTAAACTGGAAGATGTAGAACCAACAGCTGTGAAAACTCTAACGGAGCAGTCATTGCATCATGCCAGGAAACACCTCTGCCCAAAGACAGTGCCGTTTTTTCCAGCCATAACACAACAGGGCTGAGAAATTCTCTAGTTTTTAAAAATTATTCCAAGTAAAGCATTTGGTGTACAACTTTCGTGACTCATGAGCCTCTTCGGTAAGGATCCTGAGCACTCCTTCTCTCTTCTGTATGCATTACATCCTTCAGTGTGAGGTTCCTAATGCTTCCTAAACATATGGGAACATAACTGCTCTTTGCAGGTACGTACTCCTAGCCGATGATTTCTGGCAAGTGTTTCTTTTTCTGTGTTTTTGTCACAAGAGAATACCCCATATTTGGAAGCCTGCTACTTTGCCTGCAAAAATGCTAAGTAACTTCTTTAGCATCCAGCAGAGTCCTTCACTGCAGTGAATGTATCATTTTCCCAATACATTACTCTGGAAGTTATCATTTCTCTCCATGAATGATATAACTGACAGATTATCTGACAGTCAAGATGTCAAAATATTTTTCTTCAGTGTGTACTTGCAAACATTAGAACTGACTGTCAGGATATTGAGCTTGGATGAAGTTTGCTTGATTGCAGAAAGCAAACTGATTTTTAAATATTATAGTCAGTTGCTTTGTTATTGAAGAATAAATGGAAATAAAGTGAGGGCATAAATCCACATGAGAAACACACAGACACTATTTGCTGCCTTCTAGACCCAACACTTTTCATTAAAAAGTAAGATTACTTACAGATAGGACTTCGCAACAGTGGGCTGTAGACAGGTCAAGTGGCAATGAGGCATGTGCTGTGGACAGATTATACAATTTCTCCCTTTGCTTGGAAAAAAGGCAGGACGTGCTTTGCATCAATTTTAGTGTGACAAGGAGGAAGCCTGGAAAAACTTGTGAGCACACACATTTCTCCCAAAAGAGAAGGATAAATTTGAGTTAGAAATCCAAAGGCTGACTGGACAATGAGAACTGTGCAGTGATTTTCATTAGAAGGCTGTGGAGGAAGGCCAAGAAAGGACAAAAGAACAAGTGCCAACTGAGAACGTGGGAACAGGTTCAATTGAGAAGTTATTTTTAAAATACTAGTATCTATGTGTAAAAATAAACATGATACCTTTAGGCATCAGTCTGGGATACAAGCTAACTAATTGCCACTATTTCCTTCCCTCTGCCATTTCTTGTATGTACAGGAAAGATTCCCTCAATAAGCAGCTGGAGGACTATTCTATCCAAACTTCATTTAACTGTAAAAGCAGTTACTCTTGTTTTGCTTAAGGATTGTACCTCAGACTATTGGGCCACTATTACATGCAAAATCATATGAAAGCAGAAGATGGTGTTGACAGAAAGACTTCGATAAATTTCTTGCATGGTGCCAGCCCTTCTTCTCCCTACGTTAACTGTTGCAGATAATTTCTCTTTTCCTCAGACATTCGAGTCTATGCTATACCAGCAGTACCTGAACTTGCTGCTATGGCAAAACTCATGTCTCAACTTTGTGCTGTGATGACTTCCCTGACACCTTCAGAAGTTTGTCTGCACATGTGCTGCAGATTTGACTGGATCAAAATTGCACATCTGTACTGTGTAGCATGATGAGGAAAGTGAGGAAGGTCAAACCCAGAGCAGAATGCTACTGCAAGAACTATTCACACAGGCTATTATTACTCCTCGACTGTATCTCAGAGGACGGGGTAGCTGGGAGTAGGCCAAATGAAACATTCTGGTAGGTCTCAATCTCCTCCTGAGGAGGGTAATACATCTTCCTGAAAAGAAGTCATGAAGAAATATAACAGGAAGCCTTTAATGATCTGCTTATGAGATAAGACAAAACATTGCTGGGTATGTCTTTACAACTAAACATCTTTTGTAATTGTTGGACTCTGTCCTAATTAGCTTTGATATATCAGAGGACTGCTTTGTGAGCCTTTTGGTTAAAACATGTTGTTCTGTTCTACTTCCTTTCAGATGTTCTACAGATAACATTATTAAGCTTACCTTTTTGTTCATTCACTATACTATTTCTATGCTAGTAGAACATATACACATGCTCTTAATTTGATTCAATCTCTGAATAAACTGTCCAACTTTAAAAATGAGATTTATTCAATTCTGTTTCAGCACTCATGCATCCACTGCCTGAAAGTTGTACCTGGCTCATTAAAGCACGATAGAACCACAGAATATTTAGGGTTGGAAATGACCTTAAGATTATCTAGTTCCAACCCCCCTGCCATGTACAGGGACACCACACACTAAACCATGCTACCCAAGGCTCTGTCCAACCTGGCCTTGAACACTGTAATTGGCATATTGAATCTGTATCTCTCTGTTTAAAAATTTTGAAGTTCCAGTATTTTACTACAAGCTCTACAGCTAAATCTATTAATTAACAAACAGATAAACTAATTAATTGATTATATTCTAATCTTTTCAGATTCCTTATCTTTCTTAGGAAGTCCAAATCACTGATCCTATTTATTTTCATTTTGAACCTCTCAGCTTTTTTGCAAATTATATCAAAATCCAAAATGCTCCACCTCATACCTTTCACAACAAGAAGTTACTTACAGCATCCAGCAGTTTAGATGAAGCAAAACTTTGCTGAAGTTGGAGGATGCAGTTAACACAAACTGAGAATAAAAGTGAGAAACAGTTGTACTTCTTGGGAATTAATTAAAGCAAAACCTATGGTACAACTCATAGCTTACACGGCAAGCCAGATGATGAATGCAAATGAATTTTGCCAGCAACTGAATGCCAGAGTCTTCCAACATTACCCAAGACAATGTACTGGGTATTGTGCAGAGCAGGGGTGTGACCAGAAGAGGATGTTACAAAGCTGAAAATAGCCAGAAAAGTGATGGAAGATTTTTTAGAAAACACTTGGAATTTTAAACAAAAACTCTTCTGTTTTCCTTGTATATTTCAAAACAACTCAGTTCTTTCTGCAAAGGAGTATGGCTCTCTGTACTTACAGTAAATAAATATATTTGTTCATGAAGAAACAGCAAGTTCGATAAATTTAATTTACTAAAGAAACTATCTGCAAGACCATATAACTGTTTATGTCAAAACAAGTAACAATGTTTTGGAAAAATAATCAGTAATTTCCATAAAGCAGAACTTCATTTCTCTCTCAAATAAAAAGTTAACCAATTTCCACACACTGCAACAAATAAGCCTGCACACTTTCATTTCCTCAATATATGCTTTGGTTTCATTAAATTTCACTGAGCTAAATCTTACATATTTCTCATCAGTATAAATTTGGCCAGTCTGCAAATTCTGAAATACTCTCCCTGATGTAATTTTCCTGGTTGCACTGAAGTCATTAGCTGGTATTATTCTTCCATTTTAAATACCCACAGGCATGATTCTAATTTCGCATACAACAGTTAAGCTTCTAATACAAACAATTACGTGTTCATGGAGTAAAACTTTCTGAATGTTAATGCAGAGCAGGAATCACAGCCCATGTATGAAGGCTGCAAAGCAAGCAGATAGTACTTGAAAGTTTAATTTTTAATCTTTAACCCTTATGGTGTTTATTGCTTATTTATTGTTACTTTAAACACTTTCCTGAATTAACATCTTAGCTATGATTCTTACACTTCCGAATAAGCTTAATGGAAACATTTCAAAGCTGGGCTTAAGAGGGAGTGATTAGTTCAATAAGATAATCTTTATACTTCCGAACGTAAGAATTAATACATATTATCAGACACAAGTTCTTTCATAAAAGTTTCAGTATATAATGACATGATTTGTAAAATACAGTACATGGGGGAAAAGGGGTATATGAGCAGTAATTAGATGAAAAAACCCTGGTAAGAATTTTCTCTAGAAAGAGTGTGCGGTTCTTTCCTATATAAACTACTGATTCTATCATTTGGTGGATGACGTTTCCTTTTTAGCTGTGGCAGCTGTGCAGAAATCGTGCTACTTTATGAGCATGCTCAATTAGGAAAGTGACATGTACACAGGTAACACAGCATTCAGAAGCGTTATCTTGAAAAAGAGCTATTCCTTCTTGTGCATGGATCTGGGTTTTGATTCCCAGCAACAGCTGCTACATCAGTACAGGAACAGGACAAAAAGACTGCTCATGATAAAGACCAATAGCAATTTCTCCAACTCTCCCAAATTAAAATCTAACTGGCAACCAAATTAACAATTCCTTAGAGGCAGTAAGGAGTTAGTAGTAGGTCATTTCTATGGTTCATAAGCTTTCAGAGGTTCCAGGTTTTTGTAATTTTTAACTTGGTTTTTCTTCCTCTGATGGCAATCTCCAGTCAACCTCACAAGATGCAATCATCTCACTGTGTTGTGCATCAATCAACCAGCTCCTGAGGCACTGTTACGAACAGGCCGAACCTCCTCGCAAAAGAATCTCAGGATTCTTCACAGCAGCAGCCTGCAATGATGCAAAATTTATTAGCCGGACAAGTTTTAATAGAATTCAATATGCTGCTCAATAATACAATCATTGTATCATCTGTTCTGGCATTTAATTTCATATTAAAATGATGTTATCCTTAAATATTTTTCACAATCCTGCATGTGAATAATTTACCATAAGAGTTGCCAGGAAGTGGCTTTGACCTCCCTCTGAAGGTTTGGGGGTTTGCTGTTGCGGGTTTTTTTTTTTAGGGTGGGGTTTTGTTTTTAACTGAGGTTACTTCAATGACTTTGCTTCAGTTTGCAGCACAGCACTGGAAAGAGTTAAATCAGTATTGCTGAGGGATGGCTGGGGCAGGCTGCAGACATAGAGTTGGAAGGGTTGGCAACAGTGATTAGGAGGGGACGGTTCAGAAACAGGGGCTGCCCTTTTAAAATAAATGTCATGCAATGACATTCTGAGACAGCTTCATGTTGGTTACATGGCCATGTCATTTTTGACAAAAGAGCTGCCATAGTCATTGGCTTGACCAAGACTGGGGAAAACCAACCAAACACAAACCTGATCTGACCTGGCTTTTTGCCAGACCCTTTGGAATTTTAACAGAACAGTCATGTTTTACACAACTAGTGGAAAACT